ACCCGACAGTGAAGAATAAATATATTTATAACTAGTGTAGCTTGTTCCAGACGTAGATAAAATAGCTAAGTGTGTTAGGTCTAACTCTTAGTGTGTGTTTTGCTCCGCTCACCGGTCTGTCACAGCGGGTGGAGCTGCAGGATTTCTGCTTCACACACGTTGCATACCGCTATTTTATTGTTATTTTCGGACACCTTAAAATACTACCAGGCTGGTGAAGCCATGTTGGCAAGCTTGTTTTGCCGCGCACAGAGAATATCGGCCGATAACGATCGTCGGCCGATCGATCGGAGCATCCCTACTTATAACCAACTAAATAAAATAACTCACCAGATAATGATATGTACTGCATAGCCCTTTATTTCCTGTTATTGTTGTTTAAGGAGAGCCCAAACTCAGCTGCATAACCTTTTCTACATTTTTCAAAATGGTGTTTCAAGAGAGTTCATTGTATGAATCTGTCATCTAAGAACTATATAGGCTCTATTAAGAAAGCGATAACAAAAACCAAGTGGCAGAAATAAAAATGTAACCGGATGTGGAGGAGTCTCAGCCAACGCATCAGCCAACCTAAAGCTCAAACCCTTGCCTCAACAGACTAAACAACTGAGGCAGGATCGGGAAAGCCGAGATCTGGTGCAAGCAATTCAAATAGGAGCTTTTAATAAGGTGTCACAACTAGGGTTGCTACACAGATGAGACAGGGACACGTAGTTAACGTGAGTGCAGTTTATAAACTATTGGATTTTACATTTCTTCCTTGTGTGTTGGTTTGACTTGAGTAGAGTATGAGCAGTGAGTACATTGACCACATCAGGGTATATGCAGGAATCCTGAAGTCAAATGTAATACCTTTTAAGACCCTTTCCATACATTTTAAGGCCTCATCGCCACTCCGAGTTCTAACCGGTTACATTGGCGATACTCTATACCTCACATTTACTATACAGTATGGATTGTCCTTCCTCCTTATCTTCCAACCATTTGGACGCAAACTTGCATTTCCCCATAACGATGTTGTAACGATGTTGTAATGGCGTAAACGGACCTTCGCGCGCGATGTCCTGTTCAGATGACGCCAAACCCAATGGGATGCCATTAATAAAACTACACAGAATCACACTACACTACACACATACGCAATGATTACATTCAGGCACACTTTAGATTACAACCTCTTTGGACAATTTATATACTTATTGAAAACAAGCTACAAAATGTAATACCTTGGAAAATGCCGTTTAATAGCCTTAATTTTCGCTAAATTGATATATCAACTTTTAATACTTTTTAAGACCCCGCGGACACCCTGCACATTAATATTGGGCACTGGGCAGGTAAGACAATATCAAGGTGGACCAAAAATAATAAGGAGGAGTGATAATGATAGGAGTCTCTTACGATCTTCTCGTAGTACTCTCGCCGTCGCTCTCCTCGGCGTTTGTAATCTACCATCATGCCACGGAGCTTGCGCTCATGTTTGCGGGCCTCTTGCCACATGACGGCTCCGCTGGGGGTGGGGGCGCGGCGGGGCACGGTTGCTGTAGAGGCAAACAGGGAAGAAATACAGGAGAGAGGAGAAAGAAAGAACACAAGTGCTTTAGGAAATGTAGGTCAACACTGGAAGAACATAATGTCTGGCTCCCACAGCATTTATTTGATAAAAAATACTTTTAACAAAACTGCCTACTGTCATTTACAGTACTTTTGGTTAATGCAAAAATAATAAAACATAAGACAGAATATGAATGAATGAATGAAGAAAAAAATATATATATATATATATATATTCTTACCAATGTTATTAGTACTTTATATTATTTAGATATGCAATTTGGGTTATACACACATTTTGTGGTGTTTTTTCATATTGACAACTGTCTTAATATTTTACTTGCATTAATGTCATGTTAATTACATAAATATTATGTTATGTTAATTGTGTGGATCATTGAGCACCTTTTGTGCAAACCTGTGGTCATTTTTCTGATATACTATAACAACTAAGACTTCTATGTCAATGTTTTCTAATATTTACAATGAATTTCACAGACTTATTATAATATCAACTGCAGCTGATGCAATGATCAAATAACACAACCGTGTTATTGTGAGCTTTGATTTCGAGCTAATGGCCTCTGACTTTTATCACATGCATTATTTGGGTTTGTTTGATTGACTCGCGTTAAAATAGCAGCTGACGCGTCTGCAGCCAAAGTGCTAACCTGGCTAACTTCTGTATACATTATCGTTCTCAAACACATTTTACCACAGCACTGTCGCATTGTAAACAAAATGTAATTATGATACAAACGCACCATTCATATCACGTTAAGTTCGAATAAGACGAAAAGGCAAGGTTTTCAAAGTTATGGAGCAGTTTTTTAGCAAACATGGACTGATTGCGCATGCAGCTACGGGCCTTATAACGCTGTGCCGCTGTTAGCCAGTTAGCATCACAGCTAGCCTAGCCTATCTTAGCTTAGCTAGTTTGCATAGACGTTAAGAAAAAGCATATAACGCAGTTTCTTTGAGAACAACAAAACATGAAATACAGCTACACGGAACTTGCAAACCCGTTTCAAAAGTGTCGGTTTACCTGTTTAAGGGACCACTCACACACACTTGGGTTGTTTTAGTTGTTAGCCGTGTGCTTCTGTCAGACACACGCCTCCTTCTTCTAGCGCTGCCGCTCGGTGCAGTACTTATCTCAGCCTGAGGGGGCGCTGCAGTCAATCAATAGCGAGTGAGCCACAATAAATACTCCTGAGGTGGTTAAATAATGGTACATCCATGGCGGTGACCATAATACTTTTGATTTGATTGATTTGATTTGATTGTTTGTTAAGATTAAAAGTTTCACTTTTAACTTGATTTCATAATCAGTGGTGGAAAGTAACTAGGTAGCTATAAGTTTATATAGGCGTAGTTTTAAATATATTTTTAAGACACTTGTAGGCTGCTTTACAGTAGCAGATTTACATGAGTATTTAATTGTATTTTACTTTATGCTTCTACTACATGAAGTGGGCAAATGTTGTACTTTTTACCCCACTTACTTTTAGCTTCAGTAACAAGTTACTCTGCAGATTTAGGCTATTAATACAACATGTAGATAAAACAATATATTAGGATAAAGTAGTAGGACATATTAATAGATCAGTCAAATAATATGTATGATTCTGAAATGGGTCTTCATAACAGATAGGCTACTTTTACTTTTGGTATTCGGTTAATACTTTTGTAGTAAAGTAAAAGTTTGAATGCAGGACTTGTAATACTGTAGGTATACTTTTGCTTAAAATATCATTATGCCTCTTCCAACGCTGTTCAAAACAGGCTTGTATTTATAAGCAGTATATATTGTATAAGGTATGATTGGTGATTGGATGTAATTTGACAAAAACATGGCCACGTGTAATTTATGGATCTGATATTTGATGGCCATATCAGAAAATGAAAATGAATACAGCCTTTACCTCCATTCTAACAAACACTGTCATTGGTTTTAAAGTGTGTGTACCTGCTGTGGACACAAGGTGTCCCTGTGAGACAGGAAACGTTTGAGATTCTCCTGGTATAATCAAGTAAATTGCCTTGAGTTATAGTCAATGACCTCACCACAAATCTCTATTTTCGGGACAAATACTCAGTCCTGAATTAAAATGAAGGACTCTGCTCCCACAATGCAGCATGTATTTCCAACAGTCTATTTCATATGCAATCAGCCTTGTATGAAGGTTGGGTTTTTCATCCTCAATGACAATTGAATCATTGCTTAAACCCAAGATTACCTTATAGTCGTTCTCTCATCATTGGCTGTCAGGAGAGTCAAGGAAAGAGACAGGCATAAAGACTCTGTTTATAGTTGACTCAATCTGTGATGTTCTGCCCGTCATCAAGGGATCACAATGAATTGCAAGTATCAGCTGCACCACTGTCATCACTTGACAAAATGTTAACAGGTATTTAACAGATCTTTGCACCACCAAGGAACCCGACAATATGAAAGCTCTAATCTATTATCAAACAATTTAACTTTTTGTACTCAGCACAGGACACACATTGTTAAGTAGTACTGTATTAGGAGCAGTAGGCAGCTATGATAGATATTTCTCCATATGTATCTCCATCCTAATCTGTCCATGAGTACAGCAGGTGTAGAGACGGTTCTACCGTAGTGTACGCATATGTGTTTTGTGTGTGTGTGTGTGTGTGTGTGTCTTATTCCCTACATTTCCTCCTGACCAGGGTGGTGACAGGAAGCCTGTTCATTTCCAGCCAGCCGCTGGAGGTCAAAGGTCACATTTGTCACATCCATTTGCCCATTAACTGTCACTGTTTCAACCCTGCAGCCATTCTACATTGCCCCGACACACACAACCCTTCCTTTCACACACAGTTTACAGCACGTTTAGATTTCAGCATACACATGGCTCATCAATTAATTGTATTGGAGTTTACCTACAGTACAAAACCAGTTTTAGGTATTTTTTGATTCAATATTATAAAGTTGTTTTTGTTTAAGTAAGAAAGAAAAAATAATATTAGGAAATCAACATTTATTATGAAATCACAATTTCACACCCCTAAACAGTTAAAAGTTTTACCACCTTTCCAACAACAGACACATTTCTGACACACAGTTTACAATTTATTTGTATTTAATCAGAAAGGTCTCATTGAGATAAGAAATCTCTTTTTCAAGAGAGTCCTGGCCAAGACACTCTCTTCTAGGGAGACTTGGGTGAACCTTCAGGGTTTACATTTTTTATTGTCATCATTGTTTGTGAATGAGTGTCAGCGAGAGAAAGAGAGACCTTGTGCATTGAGTGTCCCACTGACCTACTGCTAGTGGCATCGTCATGAAATATCCTGCCTTGGGCCTCTGACTTTTATTTGAACAAGATAACTTGTCATAACATCCAAAAAGTTGACACACACAAACATAGAAGGTAAGAAGCCTTTTATACTAAGACCATTTTATACTAAGACCATTGTATAGTATAGTTTTCACATTTTTTTTAAATTATCTTCTACATCATCAAACTGTAATATTCTGTTATATTAAGATACAGTATTGTATTAAGTTTTGTAGGTTTAAAAAAAGAGTTGCAGTGTGACAACTCAGCCTTCACAACTTTTGAGCATATAACTCACCTAAATGATTAGCTTATAAATAAAGAAAAGGAAAACTTCAGAGAGTCCGTTGGAAAATATACTTGTTAGGGTCCGTGACAATGATATAAACAACACATTTGGCATAGCATCAGCAGTTGTATGCATAAAGACAGTGAGGAGTACTCCTGCAAAGACATTAGTTAATCATCTCTATATGACAGCGCTGACACTTGACTCTAGCAGTGACTATATCTCCTGAGACCCACCCATTCATTTTTGTCCTCTGTGGAGGACATTTGGTATTGGTCCATAACTATGAGGTTATACATGCCACAGCATTAAGTCCAATTGTACTCCACAGAGGACATCCTGGGCTTTTCAGACATGTGACATATGTGGGGGTGTGGCTTTGAAAAAGATAATTTCTTTGTATTTCAAAATGGTGTCCATCAACACAAGCACTATTTATAGAAAGAGAAATGGTAAGTTTGTAATTACCAGTGTTGTGAGTTCAATATTTTAATTAATTATAGTAAGGGAACATCTTAGGAGTTAGTGTAGTGAGTTTCAGAGCAGTGTAATAATGATTTGACCTAAAACTAAATATTTGTATGAATGTCCTCTGAGGAGGACATGGGGATTTGCTAACTTTTTTTCCCCCCCCATTTTACACAACACAAATGGATTCCACTATGGGCCAAAACTAAGACTTAGGTTTCTGTAGGGTTCATGGCAGACAGATGCAGTGGGAAAACATACATCAAGTGCCTCAAGTGTCAGATGTATCTCTGCATTTCAAAAAAGGATGGAGTACTACAAATGAGGGCTCCATGAGTTGTGCTCTGATGTTGTCTAAATGTACTTGTATGTTAATGTTGTTTGTATACTATGCTTCGCATAACTAACACCTGATGTCCTCTACAGAGGACACACAATAAAACAAAAAATAAAAATATATCTTTTTAGTTTTTCAAGGTTATGTTAATACCAACCTAAAGACTTGTGTTATCTAAAAAAAAAAAAAAAAACTGAAACTTTTTTCTTTCTGGGTCTCAGGAGGATAATGGTAGTGATTAATGATTACAGTAAAAAAAAAAAATAGAGTTGGTAAATGCACTTTTATTACAATCCACATGTGCTGGTTGCTCCAAATGGAACGCGAAATGGGACAAACAGAGCAAAGCAATACAGTGATACTTTCAGACCAAACCACAGTACAAAAAGGGCAATATGTACAATATATCCATGTACAAAAAAGCTATTTTACACAGAAGTATGAAAAATAAATCATACATTTTTGACAAACTGTAGCATTACAGAGACAATACAGGCAACAGTGTATAGTTTTAAAACAGTTTAAAAAAGGCCCTTAAAGCCCTTGGAGCAGGAGTATGCATCCTCTTTGACAAGTATATCAACTTTGTTTTCTTTTCTTGAAGTAAACTGTCCTTTTTTTTTTACCCCGCCACACACACTCATAATAAAAATTCTCTCACACACTTACACACAACCAGACACAGAAACATACACTGAGTGTTAAATAAGCATCCATTCATTGATCTCTCTGTCTGACTGTCTGTGAAGTCTGAAACAGAAAGGTGTTTCTGGACACCGATCAGATGGCATCATGGACCAGGAGACAGGGGAGAGGCCCCGAGGTCAATCCTCTTTCCTCTTTACAGCATCTCAGGCACTGCGAGGCAAGTCTTAAAAACTCCAGATTAAATCAAGAGTGTGATGAGTTTTTCAGTCAAACATGCTGCTGCTTCTCATAGTAAATAAAGTCAGAGATGACATCATAATAAGATTTACGGACCCTCCTACTTAGCAGCCAGGTGTATCACATAAAGGTCATAGGGTCACCGCATTTTCAGGGCTGCAGCAGAGACACAGTGCAAGAATCTAGAAACAGGATCCTGTGCGCGAGAGACTGCGAAGAACGCAAAATAAAATAAAAAGGCTCTTCAGAGGCCCAGAAGTTCAAAGGTCAGGCCTCCAGTTCCTGGGTTTCTGTGTAGTGGAAGTTGTTCAACTTCTCCCTCTCCCGGTTTGAAATGTCCAGTTTGGGGCCGTGTGCCGGCTTCAGTGCTGGAGATGGGTGTGAAGGTGCAGGGGAGGGCGGCAGCGTCAGTTCAATCTCCTCATAGCAACGTGATATGGGGGCGG